CGATTTCCTCCGAAATTTTGACAGGCACGTGATTTGTAACTTGAAACTGTCTTATCCAGTCACGTGCCTGTCAAAATTTCGGAGCAAATCGACGGAAAAGATGACAAAAACGAACTCGGCCAATGAATTTTTTGTCAAATATGACAATCCTTGTCATCTGTCATTGCCATAGGTATAGCTGATGAGCTCGTTTTTCAATAGGAAAAAACGAGTGTCCCACTTTTTAAGCTAACGACTGTAAAGTCAGTTTTTTTTTTAAAGATAATTCCCCAAGTCAAAAATTTAGTAACTTTGTTGGCAACACAAGCCTTTTCTACATAAAAAAATTGATAGCATTGACAATTTTACATTGTATTGCCAACATAATGTCATTTTGACTTTTATCTTTAAAAAAGAAACAGATTTTACCATATTTCCTACCTGGTTCCTTATTCTCGAAACCGGGGAACAGCGTTCTCATGAGAAGGAAGGTTCTATCTTTGTCAGTGTTATGGAAATATGAATATAAGCGACGAAGACAGAACCTTCGTTTTCATGAGAACGCTGCTCCTCTGTTTCGAGAATAAGGACCCGGAGGTTTTTGGGAATGTCTGATTCAATGGTGGTATTTGCAATGTTGCCAACTTTACCCTTTCTAAGATGTCGCATAACTTGATTTTTTTTAATGAAAGTCCCTCTTTATTTTTATCGTAATTAATTCAGTTAGGTTCAAATGCACTTACAGTTCCAGAATACTTTGGTTTTCTTAAACTGAGAAGCAATAGCCCACTTTGGTTCGGCCCAGAATTGAGACATCTTACTAACTTAAAAAGATCTGCCCATAAAAAATTTGTAAATGATGTACAGGGTGATCTATTATAAATGTCACCCCTTCTAACTTTTCCATTTGACATTTTTGACAAAAGTGTCAAATACAAAAGTTTCAAGAAATTATCGAAAGTTTTTAACTAAGTCAGTTTTAGGTATACAGGGTGCGTCAAAAAAATGCAGCAGTGTGAAGTTATTTTTTTTTTTGGGGAACACTCTGTATATTGCGCCCCTATTTGTTAGTCCCTTTCAACCTGATTTCAACGATACATGGTTTGATATGTCTATCTTCAATAGTTATAGGGAAAAACATGAAAACTCCTTTCAAGGTTTCATATTGATAAAGGAAAAATTATACCATTTAAGCTTTAGAGAATTTTTTTATAAACCGTTTATTGTTCAAATTTTATTCATTAATATACAAGGTGAAATATTATAATGATACCAGATGTCTAAGGTATTAATATTATTTAAAAAAAAAAAATAACATGAGAGACCTAGGAAGGAATTTTCGCGTTTTTTCCTATAACTATTGGAGATAAACCGAGAGATAAATATATCAAACCGTATATCGTTGAAATCAAGTTGAAAGGGACTAACAAATAGGCGCATAATATACAGGGTGTTCCATTTAAAAAAATATCGGGTCAATCAAACATTGCTATGGTTTTTCAAACGTATGTCTCAGCATAATTTTCCTTCAATTTTGTCAATGAAGTTTAATGTCAAAATTTCATATCAAAAATCCTGACCAATAAAGAAATATTAATGCGACGTACGTTTTCGTAATCAAAGCAATCTTCGATTGGTTTTTTTTGTTGAAGACCCGATATAACTTCACACTGCTGCACTTTTTTGACACACCCTGTATGCTTAAAGCTGACGCAGTTAAAAACTTTTGACAATTTCTTAAAACTTTTGTATTTGACACTTCTGTCAAAAGAAAAAGTTAACAGGGGGTGACATTTATAATAGATCACCCGGTACTATGATACATATCAACAGTTAGTTCTGATGGAATTCCTAATTTCTTTATTAAAAAGTGTGTATGTACAGGGTCATTTTTTATATTTTCCCACCCCCCTTAACTTTTTTGTGCCACCGTGTAGAAAGAAAATGTAAATAGGAAAGGTGTAGTGCTTGAAAAATAGTTCTCAGAAAACATAATTTTGTTCATACAGTGTTCCATTTAAAAAAATATCGGGTCAATCAAACATTGCTATGGTTTTTCAAACGTATGTCTCAGCATAATTTTCCTTCAATTTTGTCAATGAAGTTTAATGTCAAAATTTCATATCAAAAATCCTGACCAATAAAGAAATATTAATGCGACGTACGTTTTCGTAATCAAAGCAATCTTCGATTGGTTTTTTTTGTTGAAGACCCGATATAACTTCACACTGCTGCACTTTTTTGACACACCCTGTATGCTTAAAGCTGACGCAGTTAAAAACTTTTGACAATTTCTTAAAACTTTTGTATTTGACACTTCTGTCAAAAGAAAAAGTTAACAGGGGGTGACATTTATAATAGATCACCCGGTACTATGATACATATCAACAGTTAGTTCTGATGGAATTCCTAATTTCTTTATTAAAAAGTGTGTATGTACAGGGTCATTTTTTATATTTTCCCACCCCCCTTAACTTTTTTGTGCCACCGTGTAGAAAGAAAATGTAAATAGGAAAGGTGTAGTGCTTGAAAAATAGTTCTCAGAAAACATAATTTTGTTCATACAGTGTTCCATTTAAAAAAATATCGGGTCAATCAAACATTGCTATGGTTTTTCAAACGTATGTCTCAGCATAATTTTCCTTCAATTTTGTCAATGAAGTTTAATGTCAAAATTTCATATCAAAAATCCTGACCAATAAAGAAATATTAATGCGACGTACGTTTTCGTAATCAAAGCAATCTTCGATTGGTTTTTTTTGTTGAAGACCCGATATAACTTCACACTGCTGCACTTTTTTGACACACCCTGTATGCTTAAAGCTGACGCAGTTAAAAACTTTTGACAATTTCTTAAAACTTTTGTATTTGACACTTCTGTCAAAAGAAAAAGTTAACAGGGGGTGACATTTATAATAGATCACCCGGTACTATGATACATATCAACAGTTAGTTCTGATGGAATTCCTAATTTCTTTATTAAAAAGTGTGTATGTACAGGGTCATTTTTTATATTTTCCCACCCCCCTTAACTTTTTTGTGCCACCGTGTAGAAAGAAAATGTAAATAGGAAAGGTGTAGTGCTTGAAAAATAGTTCTCAGAAAACATAATTTTGTTCATACAGGGTGTTGCAAAAAGTTTGAAAAACAAAAAAATATATTTTCTTAAATGGGACACCCTGTATATTATGACATTTCTGGATTCTGCGGAAAATTCTAAGCATATTTTATGTATAATGTTATATACCTATCTCCAACTGTTTTGGAAATAATGACAGTAGAAATTAGAAAATTGACTTTTTTGCATCTTTGACAGACTGAAAAACCTAAACGGGATATTGTATTGTATTATTTGGTAATTAGTTAGTACCTAAATTCTGTACTAATACTAGTAAGTAATATTGATATGTTGTCTGTTGTCAACTGTAATGTAACTACCTATATTGTAAGTTATAGGATTTAATGGGGGAAACTCGTAATAGTATATTATGCAATGATCAATGTAATGGCCATTAATACACTCGCATGTTATATACGAAACTCGCCTGCGGCTCGTTTCGTATCCTACAACATGCTCGTGTATTAATGGCTATCATTACATGAGAGTTGCATACACTATTTTTTCTACTTGCATTAATAAACGAAAAACATATTGATTTTATAAGAATAGTAAACTTCTCAACTGGTGACAATTGTTGACAACTTGACAGTTTCAAAAATTAAGATCTAGACGTCATTTGGGCATAAATTCCGCACCCGATTTATTAATTTTTTGTTGTTTCTTGTGGTAAATACTAATAGGAACAATCCAAAATTCCAAAGCAAGTCTGTTATTTTTATATAAACATTGTTCGTGTTCAAAATACTCGATTCCAGTGGCTGAAAAATCTGTATCATATTGAAAATCTGTATCATAATGAAGTTCATTATGAAACAGATTTTAGGCGTATTATGAAACGTCAGTAGAAAAATAAATAAAGAAAATTCAATGTCACATTACTAAAACTCATAAATGCCAAGTCTCTATTTGACTGGGTTTTTGAAATATTGCAACACGGCTTTTTTGTTGAAATGTATAGAAACGGCCTCGCACGTCAGAACAGGCTTTAGAAAAATGTGATTGCACGTATTCAAGATTGATAGAAGGGCTGGTAGGCCCAAGTTGTTAATATTGTACATTTTTCTAAAGCCTATTCTGAGATGCGAGACCGTTAGTATAGAATCAACAAAAAAATCTGTGTTGCCATATTTCAAAAATCAAATCAAATGGAGGTTTGGCATCTTAGAAACGGTAAACTTGGCAACATTGCGAAATAGCACCATTGAATCGGGCATTCCCAGAAATCCCCAGGAAATATGGTACATTGTTCTTTAGCGCGTTCAGAAATATTAGGCCGTTTCCATACATAACGACAACCCTGTATAAATCCCATTGCACCCTTAAAAAAAAGAATTTGGCCTGACAACATACATGACAACGAAATTGATGGCCGCGAGGTGTAAGGGGGTAAAACTAATAATTGCGATTCAGTGAAAATATGCATGTGCGAAATTAAAACTGGAAAATCCACAGGTTGCTGATAGAATGGTAATCGATGAAAGATTTTAAAATTACATTGAAAGATATCGAAACTGAAAAGGATATTTTTTCACCTTACCTGGTTCTACTTCCAAACTCCACTCAGCTGGCCAGCTCATTCAGGAAGTTCAGGTCCAATGCGAAGGAAAGCAATGAAACCGTCTTGATTTAACCGGTCGCGGCAAACGAAAAACTGCGGGTCTATTTTCTCGAATCACACGGAACGGGTGACGTGTTTTTGGCAACTGATTTTACTTGTCGGCAGTGTAAGGACTTTGCCGGTATTCTTTTTCAGTGTTTAACGCGCGCATTTTTAAAAGCCAATTTCCTTGCTTCGATTTTTGTTTGTTTCCGGCTCTTGAATTTTAGTTTTTTCAAATTACTCTAGACTCAAACTGTGATTACCACTCAAATTAAACAATTTTCTCTCATATTCTTTCAGATATGGCCAAGACCAGTGCATAGTCATCTCAGGGGAATCGGGTGCTGGTAAAACCGAAAGCACAAAATTAATATTACAATATTTGGCCGCTATCAGCGGCAAACATTCCTGGATAGAACAACAAATATTGGAAGCGAATCCTATATTGGAAGCTTTTGGTGAGGATTTGAATTCAGTTTTAAAAAATAATATATTGATCTTTTGATAATTTATATAGGCAATGCCAAAACTGTTCGTAACGATAACAGTTCAAGATTCGGCAAATACATTGATATACATTTCAACGCAAATGGCGTAATCGAAGGGGCAAAAATCGAACAATACTTATTGGAAAAAAGTAGGATAGTGTCTCAGAATCAAGAAGAGAGGAACTATCACGTATTTTATTGCCTGTTAGCTGGTTTGAGTAGGGACGAAAAACGTAAATTGGATTTGGGCGATGCTAGTCAATATAGGTATCTAACTGGGGTAAGAATACAATCTTTGAACTTAAAATTTTCTAACTAAAAATTCTCTATATAGGGTGGTAGTATAACATGTGAAGGCAGAGACGACGCCGCCGAGTTCGCCGATATAAGAAGCGCCATGAAAGTCTTACTATTTTCCGATCAAGAAATATGGGAAATAATGAAACTGTTGGCTGCTCTTTTGCACATAGGAAACATCAAATACAAGGCCACCGTTGTCGACAATTTGGATGCTACTGAAATTCCAGATCCGACCAACGTACATAGAGTTGCAAATTTATTATGTGAGTATTCAATCATTCTTATGAACTCATTTCTTATTGTGGAGGGTTAATCATCCGACGTATAAAACATATCCATAGTAAAACATCAACAAGTTATATCCCTGAAATTAGCAAACTTCATACCCAAATTAATCTTTTAGGTGTTCCAGTCCAGCCTCTAATTAACGCCCTGACACGTAAAACCCTATTCGCTCACGGTGAAACGGTAGTCTCTACACTATCCAGAGACCAAAGTGTAGACGTCAGAGACGCTTTCGTCAAAGGCATCTACGGCCGTCTCTTCGTATTTATAGTAAAGAAAATCAATTCGGCCATTTACCGACCCAAAGAACGTCAGCGGAGCTCTATCGGCGTCCTAGATATTTTTGGTTTCGAGAATTTCAATCACAACAGCTTCGAGCAGTTTTGCATAAATTACGCCAACGAAAATTTACAGCAGTTTTTCGTCCGGCATATTTTTAAGTTGGAACAAGAAGAGTACAATTTGGAGGGAATCAATTGGCAACATATCGAGTTTGTGGACAATCAAGACGCTCTGGATCTGATTGCGATTAAGCAACTGAACATTATGGCTCTTATTGATGAGGAAAGTAAGTTTCCTAAAGGCACTGATCAAACAATGTTGGCCAAGTTGCACAAACAACATGGCTCTCATAAGAATTACTTGAAACCAAAATCTGATATAAATACAAGTTTTGGCCTGAATCATTTCGCTGGGGTTGTATTTTACGATACAAGAAGTTTCTTGGAAAAAAATCGTGATACATTCAGCGGTGATTTACTACAATTAGTCGCCATCAGTGGCAATAAATTCTTGCAGCAACTTTTTCACGAAGAAATCGGTATGGGATCTGACACAAGAAAACGCACTCCCACTTTATCGACACAATTCAAGCGCTCACTGGACTCTTTGATGAAAACTTTAGCAAACTGTCAACCGTTTTTCATAAGATGCATCAAACCCAACGAACTGAAAAGGCCCATGGATTTTGATAGGACTTTGTGCTGCAGACAGTTGAGGTATTCCGGAATGATGGAGACCATTCGGATACGTCGAGCCGGATATCCGATCAGGCATACTTTCCACGAGTTTGTCGATCGGTATAGGTTTTTAATATCTGGAGTTCCGCCGGCGCATAAGGCCGATTGTAAGGCTGCTACTTCTCGAATTTGTCAAATTGTTTTAGGTAAGTGATTTTATTGTCATTTCATCTTTATTTATTGGTTCTTTACGCAAGGGCGGTTTAAAGGGGGGGGGGGGGTAGAGGGGGTAATTACCCCCCCCCCCCAGACAAAGATTTTTTTTACATTTAATAATTAAAACAAAATTTCAAGAAAGGACAAGTTCTACAAAGTAAAGGAATAAAAGGCATGGTATGAATATGATAGGCTCACCAGTACCGACTTACCTACCAAGGTTCTTAAAGTTCATAGGTTTTCTGGTGATGGGTAAGTTGATGACGCATCTGGGGTCCCTTATGCAGATTTGCATTATGTTGGGGTATTTCATATGGCAAAAACAGGTGTGACGTCAGTTAACCATTTGCGGTCTAATGTAGGGAGCCACCAGCTCAAATTCCGTTGGAGTATCAGATTAAAATCGACAGATATTATGCACTAACAACCTGCAAAAGCTTTAGCTTATAGGATCTCCAATGGATGAAATATGTTGGTTTTTGTTAACAAAAGTTGCGATTTTTTGAAAAAATATTAAATATTTCAAAAACGGTTAAGTTTTGGTATAGTTGATTCCTAACAAAAAGTACGTAGGATTTTTATAACGATAAAATGTACTAAAATATAGGGTGTTCCATTTAAAAATAACAAAGTTTTTTCGCATACCCCATTTACAGAGCACCCTGTATATTTAAAAATATTTTTAGGTAATACACCTTAGAGAATCAAACAACTTTGAATTTTTATTTTTTTTTCTTGCATCACCCTGCAAGAAGATATCGTCCGATATCGCACTAAGTGGACACCCTATATTCCTATTTTGACGGCATCGGGATACATTTTTGCCCGAACTGTGTTTTTTTAAACGACTTTCGGGTGCAAATTTGGGCGTGGCTCGTGGCTCCCTGGCGGTACGTTGCGACACTTGATAATTTTCCCGTCATCCATTACCCCCCCCTCCCCCCCAGAAAATCATGTATGGACCGCCACTGTCTTTACCTAACCTAATCTACGCCGGTGTTATAATGACAAATTTAACATTCTCATTTGAATATCGTTAGGTCCTTCATAATAGCACTTGCACTATTTTAAGAGTTCCACCGTGCCGGGACGGCGCCGGCGTATTGTTTCCCAAAATTTTAGTAGGCAGTTTGTCTTCTATCAGCAAGGAAAAGTCAGTAAGCTATAGCTTTCTTAACTGAACTCAGATTTGTATTACAATTGTCCAAATGAAAGAAATGAATATTATAGTTCGTGAGTAGTCTAGTCATTAGACAGTTTTGCCCATAAGTTGTTCTGTGGACTGATTGGAAAAAAAGTTGCCTTTATCTAGTTCTTCTGCCAGGGACGAGGAAATCGATTTCTTGTAAAAGTTCAGGTAAACAAGTAATACCACATATAAGCTTATGCAAAAAGATCAATTGTGCATTCTGATGTCTATTTTCCAGACTAGTTAAGCCAGACAACAGCAAACAAGTGTTGTAGTCTACAATCCTGATAAAGAAATTTATTTTGTTTATACCAAGTATTTTACAAATCTATTCTGAACTCTTTCGTTCCTCTGGATGTGACAGTTATAGTTAGGTGTCCAAATTATACTACATTATTCCAATGTAGACCTTATGAAGTGTGGTTATTGCTTTGATATCATATGTATCTCTGGTGTTTCTCTTGATAAATCCGAGCAGTCTAAAGCCGCGTACGGACTTTGCGAGGCTGCCTCGCGAATCTGCGCCAGTGTGAGCGGCCTTGCACTACTTTTGAAGTGATAGGAGAAGCTAAACACGAAGCAACGCGAGACGTCATTCATTAGAAAGATTTTGAGCCACCTATTTGATCAACGTTATATGTTATCGGTTATTTTGCTCATGCGCGATAGTGAAAAAATAACGGTCCACTTAATAAGCGGTAACGTACTACGCTAAGACTCGCTCTAAGGCAACATCAATGTCACTCACAACCAGCAAATGCGTACAAATTTGGGAAATGCCGCGCTACGAGGCTTCTTTGAGCACGACCAAAAAACCGACTGGACATGGCTCGCCGCGAGGCTGCCTCTTAAAGCCGCGCACGGACTTTGCGAGGCTGCCGCAGTGCGAGCGGCCTCGCACTACTTTTAAGCCGCGTACGGACTTTGCGAGGCTGCCTCGCGAGGCTGCAGCAGTGCGAGCGGCCTCGCATTACTTTTGAAGTGGTAGCAGAAGCTAAACACGAGGCAACGCGAGCCGTCATTCATTGACTCGCTCTGAGGCAACAACAATGTCGCTCATAATCAGCAAACACGTACAAACTTGGGAAATGCCGCGCTACGAGGCTTCTTTGAGCACGACCAAAAAACCGACTAAGCATGGCTCACCGTGAGGCTGCCTCTCAACGCGGCAGACAGTGAATCGACGCAGGTAATAATTTTGCGAAGCTGCCTCGCAAAGTGCGTACGTAGGTTAAAACTCTCGAGGACAATATTATGGATATGTTTGCTGAAAGAACAGATCTTTTTGGGATATGACTCCCAAGTCTTTAATGGTATAAACAGTCTTCAATCTTCCATTTTCAAGAAAATAGGTGTGTAGGAATGGATTCGTTGCTTTGTAGAAACTTATGTGCTTGGCACTTCTTGGGATTAAATTTTAACAGGTTACTATTACACCACTAAGCAAGTCTATCCAGGGACCGGATTCTCGTCTCAGGAAATTTTGTCTCGTTATCATTTTGTTTACTTTTCAATTACATTGGACAGGACGAAAACATTCGTTCCATCGAGGAACTCTACTCCCTGAGACGAGAATTCGGCCCCTGGTCGGGTTGGAGGGCCGGACAGTGTTGGAATCTGAGTCCACAGTATCAAAAAGCTTGAGGTCATCGGCATACAATAGACACCGTGAGTAGCGCTAAGTGGTATCACCACGTTCCGCTACTGCGCTGGCAGTCCGGTTCCAACAATGAGTAACAGATAGCATGATGGCGCCTCCAGGATCAAAATATTCCGGAGGTAAAATACCCGACCACTCGGATCTCCGGGCGTCGGGTGATCCTGGGGGTCCTTCATGTAAAGATATAAAGAGAAGATCAAAAACTCAACTCAGAATTGATTTTAGCAATATAAGAGGAATAAGTACAAATATGAATTCAGTTCACCAACATCTTGAAGAACAAAGACCTGACATCCTTGTTCTCACTGAAACTAAAATCAGTTCTGCAACACCTATTGTGAACTATCTTTATCCCGGCTATGACCTACACCACCGATTTCGACATAATTTTGGGATCTGTGTGTACATTAAAAATGACCTTTCATGTCATCGTGAGGAGAAGCTAGAACCAGCGAACCTTGATATCATATGGCTAAAATTCACCTCAAAGTCATCGACCAAGTTTATCTGCTGCCTCTACCGACCGCCATCTAACACCGAGTACCAAAACTTTTTCGCGACATTATCCGAAAGCTGTGATAGTATACAGTCAAACTATCCACAGGCGGAAATTGTCTTTTTAGGCGATTTCAACGTCCACAATATACCCTGGCTGAAACACCACAACAAAACAGATAACGAAGGCAGAGAAGCAGAAGCTTTTGCCATAAGTTGTGGTCTAACGCAGCTTGTCGATGAACCTACCCGTATCTCAGAAAGGGGCGAATTTGCAGCGCTTTTAGACTTGTTCCTAACCACAAATCCTGACTCGTACACAATTCAAGTAGATGCTCCACTTGGTTCGTCCGATCATAAACTTATAATAACAAAGTGCGAAATGCTCATCCCACCAAACCTACAACCACTTCCTCGTAAAATGTGGCACTATAAATCGGCAAAATGGAATGACCTAAAACAGTATTACCTGGATTTTCCATGGCAAGAGGTTTGCTTTAAAACAGCTGATCCCACTATTTGCTGTAATGAAATAACACAAGTAATCTTATCTGGAATGGACGCATATATCCCACATACAACTAAACGTAGAGCTAATGCAAAACCTTGGTTCAACAGCCAGTGTCAAACGGCTGTACAGAAAAAACACAGAGCATATAACCTTTGGAAACGACAACAAACCGCTCAAAACCACACAGAATTTATAGAAGCCAGAAATAGTTGCAAAATTACTATTGACTCCGCTAAAGAAACATACAATCAAAGAATAAAAAACAGGTTGCTGAATTGTCCAAGTAGTTCTAGGTCTTTTTGGTCTCTTGCAAAAGCTGTTGGATCTAACTTCACCAAGTCATCCATACCACCACTTACAGATAAAAATAATCACTTAGCCACAACATCAGAGGAAAAAGCCAATATGCTTGCCCAAATGTTTTCCTCCAACTCCAACCTAACAGTGCCAAACGGAAAAACTCCACCGTTCATTGAAAGGGTTTCCCATAGTATGCCAGAGGTACCCTTTTGTCACAGAGAAATACGAAAATCCCTAAAAAAGCTGGATACAAACAAAGCAATGGGTCCGGATGGCATTCCCGCAATAGTACTCAAAAATTGCGCCAACGAACTCACCCCAACTTTCGCAAAATTATTCAATTTGTCTTACAGGCAAGGAGTATATCCATCATCATGGAAGTCTGCCGCAGTACAACCCATTCCAAAGAAAGGAAAAAAGACAGATCCGTTAAACTATAGACCAATTGCTCTACTTCCGGTGATATCAAAAGTAATGGAAAGAGTTGTGAACAATCACCTAACCAAGTACTTGGAAAAGTACAAAATTATCAACGATAAGCAATACGGATTTCGAAAATATAGATCAACTGGCGATTTACTTACATACGTCACTCACTTATGGCAAAAAGCGATTGAGTTGCGGGGTGAAACAAGAACAATTGCCTTAGATATATCTAAAGCATTCGACAAAGTTTGGCATGAAAATCTTCTCAACAAGCTCAAAGCAATGGGATTATCGCCGAAACTTTGCACTTGGTTTGAAAGTTACCTAAAGGACAGATCCATTTATGTTGCACTGGATGGCCAGAACTCCAACTCTTACCAAATAAATGCTGGTGTGCCACAGGGAGCAA